TTTTTTTGGTTTTTCTCCGGTACCCGGGAACCGAACTCACGACCTTGTGCTTGCCAGGCAGGCACTTTGCCGCTGAGCTAAATCCCCAGCCCCTCATATAGTATTTTACAGTGTGTTTTTTTCTATTTGCTTCATTGATCTTTATAGTCACCCATAAGGTAGCCATTTATGTCTGTATTCTACAGATGGAGATAAATTGCCCATGTCCACTGAATCAGGACTCAAACCCAGGGCCTTGAGATCTCTGTAAGTATCCTTTCACCATGGCACAGCTCCTTCAAAGCGATAGACCTGTTGGAGGCTGCATGGAAAACTCTTTGCCTTCATCTTACCTGGAAGATATAGTCCCCTGGGCCCACATCTGTGATATCCACCCACTGGCAGTCAATGTCATGCCGGTAGGTGTCCCAGCAGCCTACAGTCACTCCCTGTTCCCCAAAGTTGGCACACGCATACCGCCGTTGCAGTCCTATAAGGAAGGGCACATGGTTACTGAGACACCAAGCAGGTACTTGTGACCAAGCACTGTGCTAAGGCTTTCGCATAATCGTTTATCCTCAAGCCAGTGTTTACTGATCAGTCAGTGCAGTTATACCGAGTTCAGATTCAGAACCTGAGGTTATGTGACTTGCCTAAGTATCAGAACTGGACTGCAATCCTGCACTATAGCAAAGCACATCTGTGACAAGGACATGATTACTTCAGGGTATTGAAAGTCCTTGTTGGCCTAAAATGTGGTTGGGAGATTGTAGCCCTAATGTGCTAATTTGTCTACTCATCTGTCCACCCAGCCCTCTAGAGATCGTGTGCACCATGCCTTTCCTTAGGGATGGACAGTGGGGGTAGGCATGTAGGAAATGGACAATCCCTGCCCTCAGAGAGCTTAGTGTACTGCAGCCATTACCCAAGATAGAGATTGTTAAACTTTTAAAAGCAGGACAAAGTGTATTGGGAATTCAGAGGAAATAGAGCCCTATCACCCAAGATTTCAGAAGGTAATAAATTGATCTTTTTGAGTTGTTATGAGTGCTGTTGCCTTGTCAGTCCCCAGGTGCCTGGGCTATTGAGCAAGGCAGAAGAGATCCCCATTCCCAAAGGACAGAGGAATATAACAAGGGGATAGATAGATGCTGTTAGGAAACCATGTACCTGTGGGACAATTTGTGTCTTCTAGACAGAAGCTGGCCTTGTGCCCCTCAGCCACCTTGGAGCCATTCAGTGTGAGCAGATCATAGTGGGTGAAGACCTCGATACTGTGGTAGTGCCTGCAGAAAAAGGTGGAGCTGTCAGCCTCACAGCATTAAGAGAGGGTCTTCTCTGGAGGAGTTGGCGAGGAAGACTGAGGGACTAGGCCCCATCATTACCCAGAAAGGAAAGTTATAATACTAGGGCAGTGCCCTTCTCTCTTCCAAACCCAAGATTAGTGTGACCCACAGTCTACTTTGCTGGCACCCCTGCCAGGCCTCAAGGCATGGCTATCCCTGTCACCTAGGGTCTCAGCCCAGGTGGGGAGAGGTAAAATTCCTGCCCTAGTGCCTTTCAGGGCTGCAGGGCCTGAGGAGCACCTGGCCCTGAGACCTGCCTATGAGCAGAGGTTCTGGGGAGGGAGCTGACTCTGACTCCTGTCAGCCTGGGACCAAATTGCTACCATAGTTTCCAATACGGCTGTAATGACAACTCTGTTCATCCTACAGGGAAAAGTGCTTATTATCTCAGGCAAGGCCAAATCCCAAAGTCATTGCCCATTCCTCTCGGCTTTCCCCACCCATGGCTATGTCCTGAAAAAATAAATAAAAAAATTTCCCATTCTGTGTTTGTCAGAAGCATTGTCTCTCCTGGTCTGGCGGCTCCTGATAGGAAAGAATGCTCATTGTCTCATTTTTAGTAGCAGTCTGCTCATGCTATTCTTTGGACGCTTTTCCTTGCTGCTATAAGAACCAGCAAGCTTTTTCTGCAGAGCCAGCATCCTATTTTGGGCCTCCAGGTTTGTAGGAGTCCCAAGTTTACCTGGCTTTAACAAGGCTTAAACTGGGTATGGTAGTATACACCTATAATCCCAGCACTCAAGGGGCTGAGGCAGGAGGATCATACGTTCTAAATCAGCCTGGGTAATTTAGCAACTTGTGTGAGACTCTATCTCAAAGAATTAGGGATATAGCTCAGTGCAAAGGCCCTGGGTTCAATTGCCAGTATTGCGGGGGGGAAGTAACACCTTTCTAGCAGAGAGCAACTGCTGGGCATAACTCCTCTGTGGGGCATCTCTTTGAGAAATGCCCCGTGAGCACTGTCCACAGTTATGTCCAAGGAAGGTGAGAGAGACGGAGAGGACAGGGCAATGCTACTGGGACTCCTACTGCCCTGAGAGTAAAGGTGGGAGATTCATCAAGCATGTGCACCTCTCCCAGGAAAGTTTGCTGAAGGCCAGGGAGGACCAGACTGGTCTATGGATCAGGCTTTTTGTTCCTCACCCTCTGGAGCCAAGGCACAGGCAGGCACTAACCTGTGGCACTGGTGCCAAATCCAGCTGTGGCGTCCAGTCTTGGGACGAAAGTCAGCCCGGCCCAAGTTGTAGATCTGTGAGGAGAAGCGCAGTAGGCGCCGGTGTCCATAGGGCCAGTCCATGTGGTCAGCAGACTGAGAAAGGCACTTCTCTTCATGGGCGCAGTACAGTAAGCTGAGGGGGCGGTCCTCCAGGTAGGCCGTCTCCTGTACCAGCTGGGCATTCATCACCAGGTCTGGAGCACCTGGGCAGCAGAGGGCAAGACAAGAGGCCAGGGGTAGCACTGCAGCTTGTGTTGCCCTCCAGCATGAGCCCCTAGACCACCCTGTCTGGGAGGAGGCCAGAAAAGAAGGGCAGTTGAGTCAGGAGATGCTAATTCTAGTATCAGTAAAAGGAATGACTCATCATTTTAGCCTGGGAGGCAGCTCCAGGGGTGTGGCTAGGGTTATGAGCTCTGGAGCCAGACCACCAGGGTTCATTCTTGCTATAACTTCTGACTATGCCATTTGTCAGTTCTACAACTGCTTAGTCATTTGTGTGTCATTTTTGTCACCTACAAGATGGAGATAAGAACAGTGATATTAATGTGATACTACTTGTTACATGCTGAGATTGTTATCTGGCCCACATTAAACATGCAATGGATATAAGTTAGCATTTCCTGTGTGAAATGTTTGTCAGCAGGTAAAGTGGCTTTGTGTAGTTTAGTGCATATAATCATCATCGCCTCAAACCAGGAATCCTATTCTAGCCTGACTGCTGCCATGGGTGTTCCCTGTGCATTTCTCTTCTGAGATATCTGGGTATTTCTAGTGCTTCTCTGTACGTTAGAAATCCCAACATACTGCTGCCTGTGTCTTCATGAGCAGTTCAGTGGCTGTCTTTCCTGTCCTGTCACAGGTGCTCTTAATCTCTGAAGCCACAGGCCTCCTGTGCTGGTACGGAAATGTGGAGATCCATAGTTGTTGCCGTGTAATCTCAAAAGAGAAATAGTGCCCTTTCTCAGTGCTTGTCTGTGCAAAACCGAGGGGCCCAGTTTAGGTGTTTGGGCAGAAGCATCCTGTGTGTGTGCCCACATACTGATGCAAGTGGATGGGAACAATGGCTTATTTCATTGGCTGGGCTTTGAAGGTGCTTTGCTATATGTTCCCTATACAATCACTAAAAATGCTCTTGAAATTCCTGTGTTGTATTTTGGAGAGCCACAATATGCCCACTGCAAACCCCAGAGTTCTTGAAGGAAAGTAGCAGAGCTTTCAGAAGAGAGGAGTGTGGAGGAGAAGTACTGAGAAAAGCTGGAAAGGAGAGAAAGGATGGCCACAGAAGTTGTAGACCAGTTGACTGGCTGCCCAGCTGTTGGGAAACATCAAATGTATTCAAGAAGAGAGCTGCCACTGGAGGAAGTAGAACAGGCAAGGGCCCAAGGTTTCCAGGAAGGGGATGCTGAGTTGAGAGAGATCCCAAGCCTCCTCTGAGGCCTTGATACTGTGGAGGTCCCACTTTGATGCCCCATCAATCTGCATGGGAGGGGTGATGGCCAGGCCCGGTGCTTTCCTCAGGGTGTACTGTATAGCACTCTCTGACCAAGGTGAAGAATGTCTTGGGTTGAAGTCTGGCTAGGTCAACTGGAAATATAAGTTGGTGGAACTCTGCAGCTTTTGGACTGGAAATAATTATTGTGGCACCAGCCTTATTGGCACACGTTGAACAGAGATACTACTGCCTTGAGAATTTGGGTTTACAGGGAAGACCCGTCACAAAATGGTCGGGTCCTCATGCCCTTTGGGAAATCCCACAGCTCAAGAAGAGTACACACAAGGTAGGCCTTAGGCTCTGGTGTGCCTCTCCTTTATACATCTTCTTTCACCTTGTTTTTTTTTTTTTTACAAATGACAAGAAATATAATTTATGTTGTAACTCAGTACACATGCATATAGTTTCAAGAAAAAAAAAAACTACTATCCTTAATAAACATAACACACTCACAGGTGCTCTACTGTCCTGTATTTCCTTGCTGAAAGAAACTGTCAGTGAGGCATTGGTTGATTAGCTTTGTAT